GCGAAAAGAACGTGACGATTTTTCATCGATGAAATTATATGTAATTTCTTTCTTCTAAATCACTGACACTCTCAATAATTTGTGCATTTTTTAGATTTATTTAATTACTCGCCCATGTTATTTCTTCTAAGAGTGTTTCATGTCCGAAATATTTCTGCGATCATTTTGAGCTCGTGAGCATTGTTCCACAAGTGGAGTGACACTGATTGTTTTAAAGCCAGTCAGCCGTATCTCTTCGAAGTGTAAGACTCGGTGGTTGGGTGATAATTTGGGTCTACGCGTGTTCGTGGCGGATGTGTTATAAAGGGCGAAGTTTCGTTGAATGCTGTAAACTTAAACAATTAACTTCATAAACTTGGGTAAACTAGCAGTTTGTCCATTACAGTTTTCTGGTAATAGGGTTTTGTTTCGAGGAGACTTGATTACATGCGATTGGATACTCTGGACAAGCTAGACAGAATTGGGGGGTGGGGGTGGGGGGATTGTTCGACGTCAACAGTTCGCACTTGCTGATGTTAAACCGTGAATAATTACCACTAGCATCGGATAGTCTCTGCATATCTCACTGTCCACCGAGCGTGTACCAAATGTGAGACATACGTCGATGTTTGTATGATATTATTTCTTTAGACAGCATTAAACACTTGATCTTTGTAATGGTGAAGAATTGTATGATTTGAGGTTTTCACAGCGGTGAGTGTGAAGATTTCTGTCTTCTGGGTTGTTGCGCTGTGTAGTATAGTAGATGTTAACCAACGTTTCAGAGGTCATACTGCCTCCATCATCAGGGCGATGAAGATTTCTGTCTTCTGGGTTGTTGCGCTGTGTAGTCTGGTCGATGTTTACCAACGTTTCGGAGGTCATACTGCCTCCGTCATCAGGGCGACGTTCATCGCCCTGATGACGGAGGCAGTATGGCCTCAGAAACGTTCGTAAACATTACCATACTACACAGCGCAACAACCCAGAAGACAGAAATCTTCGTGAAGAGTTGTGTTTTATTTGCGGTGCGGGCTGGATTTTTATACATTATTTGGACGAGATTCGCTTCCATAGGTTTAAATATATATTAAAGCTGTGTTATGCGGATTGGGTGCATCTATCTAAGGTTCAGTCCAACAGCGGGTTCCTCTGAAGACGGAAATAATTTTCGAGGTACTTAAAAGACGTCGAATTCCAAGACTAGTCCATTGACGATAAGTACTCTGCTCCATGGGTTATTTAAGTTCGCAAACGGATCTGTAGTATGCAAATATAGTCCCTTGTGTGAGTGGGATAAACAGAGAAAAATCACCTAACTGTGAACGGCTGTTGGCTGCGTATTCCAAGATGAATACGTCCCTAATGATGTGCCGGGGGTCAGAGTGTGACCCACCCCACGATGGCAACACGAGTAGACTGCTCTTCGTTAGCCACCAGCATCGTGATAATTACATTACACTTGGTGACAGGGCCAAACTCTTTTCCGGATTTATCCCCTGGATCTCGAAGTTGATCTTCTGGATTATAACGCTGTGTTTTTGCAAGTACATACCAACGTTTCAGAGAAACATTGATTTCTACCGACAAGTCCACGTTGTGTTATTTATTTATAGCTTTTTCAGTAGCTCAGACTTTATAGCGTAGACACATGGTGTCGTAACCCATAAGACTAACAAAGCTGTGTTCAACGCCTTGAAAACCTAAGATATTATTCTTCATGGTTCTGTTCCGTGTTCGTTCATATGGTTAGAAACCCCGTGGAACAAAACGTTGAGATTAATTTTATGAAAATTACTTTTAGCAACACTGAAAAATGTGAGTGACATAAACAATATTTACATTCCGTCGTTGACGTCTGGTATGTTTTCATTGTCGTTTCTGCAGTGACAATTCTGACTGACGTTTGACTTGGCTGTTCCATTTTCGGAACACACGAAAGAAAAATAACCGATTCATGGTCTGATTTTTGTGATCGCAATTTGAAATTTACGGAACAATATGTTGATAAATGTGCGTACTAGAGGAAACCTTGCGAATGGGCGGAAATATTCGAAGGAGGGGATGACCTTTGTGTTGTTGATGCGCGTTCTGGTCGACCATCGATTGTAACGTGACGTCTGAATACTCGGAGAATCAGCACTGATGAAATTGCATCTGAAATGAATTTCGACCACCGGAAAAAGTGGTGCGAAAGTGGTTTAAGACTCCCACCGAAAATGTGTTGTTCTGATGGGATCAGGAAATTTATAGACCGTTGTTCCAAACACATTGAAAGGCAGGTGATTATATTGAAGATGGCGATGCGTAATCGCCTTGATGATGGAAGCAGCAAGGACGCCTGAAACGTCGGTAAACTTCCACCAGACCATGGCTCAACAGCCCAGAATAAACGTCGGTAAACTTCCACCAGACCACGGCTCAACAGCCCAGAAGACAGTCACCTTGGATTTATCTGGGTCTCAGAAGGGATAGAGGGCGGGCTATTTTGAACACGGCGATGAATTTTCTGGTGCCACTCATTTACACATTTACCAAAACGTCGATTTTTCATTGTTCAGGTTTTTGCAGGGATTGCAAATAAAACCGAAGACATTCCGTCGTGTCATTTCGTTTGTCTCCGGACATGCTCTGTTCTGTTACAATCGTGATGATTAATATACTTGTCATACGACCACGTTATTCACTTTTTGTGCGGGAATCGATCAGTAGGCCTTTTGGCAGTCTTATTTCTGCTTTTTGTTGTCAGACTTTTATCCCTTCCTTCCCCACAACTAAAAATTTAATTTTCTTCTCCTCTGCTTTAACTCACTTGAACAACTTGTTCAAGTGTTGTCGTGGCGGGGTCACACGTGCTAACCTAAAGCTCACGCGATCATTTATCACCCGCTGTAAGTGAACTTTTGAGACTGATAAGGTGGGCTTCCTGTTATCGATTTTACTCGGTCTTCTTTAAACAGATTTAATCTTTAATTTATGATACTACCGCGAGAATTTATTTTTATGTCGCTGTTTTTGACCATAAGAAAAAATAATTGAGTGTATACAAAGAAGTCTTTTTATTACAAGATTAATGTGAAGATTTCTGTCTTCTGCGTTGTTGCGCCGTGTAGACTGGTCGATGTTTACCAACGTTTCAGAGGTCATTTATTCATCGCCCTGATGAAGAAGGCAGTATGACCTCCGAAACTTTGGTAAACATCGACCAGACTACACAGCGCAACAACCCAGAAGATAGAAATCTTCATACTCATCACCCTGATGACGGAGGCAGTATGACCTCTGAAACGTTGGCTAACATCGACCAGACTACCCAGCGCAACAACCCAGAAGATAGAAATCTTCATACTCATCACCCTGATGACGGAGGCAGTATGACCTCTGAAACGTTGGCTAACATCGACCAGACTACCCAGCGCAACAACCCAGAAGATAGAAATCTTCATACTCATCACCCTGATGACGGAGGCAGTATGACCTCTGAAACGTTGGCTAACATCGACCAGACTACCCAGCGCAACAACCCAGAAGATAGAAATCTTCATACTCATCACCCTGATGACGGAGGCAGTATGACCTCTGAAACGTTGGCTAACATCGACCAGACTACCCAGCGCAACAACCCAGAAGATAGAAATCTTCATACTCATCACCCTGATGACGGAGGCAGTATGACCTCTGAAACGTTGGCTAACATCGACCAGACTACCCAGCGCAACAACCCAGAAGATAGAAATCTTCATACTCATCACCCTGATGACGGAGGCAGTATGACCTCTGAAACGTTGGCTAACATCGACCAGACTACCCAGCGCAACAACCCAGAAGATAGAAATCTTCATACTCATCACCCTGATGACGGAGGCAGTATGACCTCTGAAACGTTGGCTAACATCGACCAGACTACCCAGCGCAACAACCCAGAAGATAGAAATCTTCATACTCATCACCCTGATGACGGAGGCAGTATGACCTCTGAAACGTTGGCTAACATCGACCAGACTACCCAGCGCAACAACCCAGAAGATAGAAATCTTCATACTCATCACCCTGATGACGGAGGCAGTATGACCTCTGAAACGTTGGTAAACATCTACCAGTCTACACAGCGCAACAACCCAGCAGACAGAAATCTTCATACTCACCGCTGTGAAAACCTCAAATCAAACGAGATTAATGTGAATAGTTATTTTCTACAATGTATTAATTTAGTATGGTTATATATTATTTATACCAGCGACTGAAGCTAGGTTTCTGCCAAACGCATCCACACTGAACCGACCACGTGACTCGAGACTCCCACCAAACAACCAGAGTCACCACTTTATTTCAGTTGTTTACTGTATCACGCGGTCGACGGATTTGTCAAACGTGACGGACATTGGCTGCTCAGTACTAGACACTATTGTTCTTTTGGCTTTGACGTCCTGAGTAAACTCGTAGGTACATGCCAGCCTTCGAAGCAAAACCGGCCTTTAGCTTCAGATCTGAAGATGGAGACGTTGCTTCTTCGAAATGTCGAAATGTTGATATATACTTGAGTCTGCAAGGCGTCACAACTCAGAACAACAATACCATCATCATCATCATCATCATCATTATTTTTGTGTTCCTTATAGCGTTCATTCAACATGTAGGCTTAGGGCCTGAGATAATATCTTAAATTAAGCTAATAATGCTTATTTCTCACATCACATACTTTCTAATTTATTTTTATTAGTCATCATTCGACGTTATGGAGTCTGAGCTACTGTAAGTGTCGTTAAATGCACCATGAATAAGAAATAATAAAACAGATTAAACCCTCCGACGGATTACCACGCTATAACCTTTTTTTTTAGAAGTACGATAGGTTAAGAAATGCACTCAAATCTGTGATTCTTTATGCGAGGCTTCGCTCTGTTCTCGGCGAGACAGGAGACGACGCTGATAACCTTGTTACAATATTTCTTTTGTATTTCGCTTCTACATTGCAGTTGAGACATCTTCCTATATTTTACCAAATCTTTGTTCTTTTTCAGGTGCTGACTGCAAGGAGACGAAGCCCCTGGAGTTCGGATATGACATCATAACTGCTTGCCGTCTGGAAATAGGAGCCGAAGACTTTGAGGATTGTGATGGCATGAGGTAAGCCCGCAAACGCTTTATTGAATAAAATAGACGGTCGTTTTATACGAGCGTAAGTGGCATAAGTGCATTGCAGGCGAAAGTTTATCAGCCCTTCTCGATCCATCAAGTTGCTGTGGCGGTAATGGTATTCGGGTCGTGCCCGAAGCGAATACTAGACTGTGCCACTGCCTGTCTTGAATTTTTCGAAGCAAATGCCGGAATTTGACCTTGAAATATTATTGATAACTGATCATCACATGCCAGGTTTTTTATGTAGAATCCTGTATACGTGTTGAATGTAATTTGCACTACTGTCGTTATAAGCGAATGATATTAGATTTTCTTCGAAGCAGAACATGGACAATTCTTGCCCTAGCCTGTCCGTTTTGCTTTATATACTTATCTGAGTGGTAATAAATAATATGTTCAGTTGGTGAAGCACAGTTAAATAACCGCTTGTGAATCACAGGTCTGTCTTCCTCTGTCTGACACAGCCAATCAGCGCTCCGTAGTCGCAGTCTGCTTTATTAAATCCGATCTGTTTCGATTGAAAACAGAATTGAAGTTGGAAGTCCGAATGCACGAAGGAAATGAATCCCAAACGAGGTTATGCAGTTTGTCATCCGACCGATCCTCTACATGTCCGATTTCTACTACGGTCTCGAGAAAACTCGGTCATTGTCCACAACAGAGCATTATGCTCGTCGCGTTCAACGGGTTATACAGTGATGTCATTATTACTACAACAAGCTAATTTATTTCATATAATTTAGGAAATTATTTTCCAACCAGATCATCTCTGTACTGAAACAATTTTATCATGCATAAATTTCCTTTTGTCTAGAGACTTTTTTCCTATATGTGGCATTACTGTGAATATAAGGGAGTACAATTTGAAGCTGGTATGTGAAGAACAAATAAGATCTTGTATTAAGGTGTTGATAATGATTATAAAAATCATTACGATAAATTGTATTAATTTTGGAATGTGGTCAGTAAAGATTGCTACTGATGGCTGTGATAATACGAATTGATTGTATTTTGGCAATGATTTAATTGGTGTAATCACTGAACAGATAAAAGTACGAGAATGCGTAAGCACGAGGTATTGTGTGATTATAAAAGTTAATTTCTAGTTGGCTATTCCAATGTTAGATTATTCCATCAATACAAGTATTGGGATGTTTACATGACCTAAATCCTTGTCGAAGTCCGGAATTAATTATTACGATGTATTTTTGTGTCTTCCGTTTTAATTGATTTTCACTTTCTGTATAAATTAACATCTGCCATAACATATCTGTTTTTTTCAATCAGGTGTTTTGACGTAATCAATAGAAACAACACACGCCCTGTTTATGAAATTATCTCTATTTTTAATAATTTTGTTAATAAAAATATTACATCAACACTTGCCTTCCGTCCCAGTGTTAATTGTCCAATAGTCGGTGTTGGTGTTGCAAAAGCTAAGGTGCATGCTGAAGTGGCTGAGAAGAACCACGGAAATCCTGAGGATATCAAAACCAGTATTATCCCGAGACAGAGAGCTTCGTGTTGTACACGTTTTATTGTTCCAGGAGCCAAGTCCTTTGTCTTCAGGAAAGCCTCGTGTCAGGCGATGTTATAATGCAGGGTGGAGTTCCCCATTTAGCTCGATTAAACATCACAGCTCCCGAGGAATTAGTTCCGATCCTCAGGTAAACAATATTCACACGTTTACCGTCATTTCTTATATTATTTAAAAGTTTATTACAAACACATGTGATATTTTTTTCGTATTAGTCTGTTCTTGACGATTCGCGTTACGAACTCTGTTTCTAAGTGCGATAATTAATTATATTGTTTTTACAAAGCATCGCAGTACTGACATGTTTGTGTCCATTAATATACATTATTTCATTGTGTAAACTGTGGACCGGAAAAGAGATTTGAGGTTAACAAGGAATCGTTTCCTGGTAGAACTCATAAGGCTTACATTCCCGTGCCTCAGATATATATTCATTCATATCCTGTACTCTACTGACGAGTCTGTACGGCCCCAAAATCCAGAAGAACGTCATACTGCCTTGATCTCCATTTCGGAAAGCAATATCGTCGCCAGAATCTCAGATCTCACACGCAATTACGTCTATTTCAGGTCTCCTTTTACTAATGAGAGTGTTCGTGAAGATGACGTGATTGTCGGAAAGTGTTCATATGTTCCTAGTACACTTGTCACTGACATTCTGTACACTACAGTGCCAGATCGAAGCCCAGAGGGACTCTCCATTTATCGAATCGTTGGAGTCAGGGTTAGGTGAGTACCGTCACCGTATGAAAATTGTAGAATGAATCATTTTAACACCACTGGCCACTTCGTATAAGTTTCTGGATACCCCTGGGAATTATTTTCAAAATATGGATATTTATATTTTCTTTCCCAGCGACGTACCAATTTGGAAAAAAATTGATGGTATGAAATAATCCTCCGTTGGCTTCATGTTTCTTATATATTAAATCTTGTCCATCTAATCACAATAATTCCTATTAAATATTAAAATATTACAATAATTAACATTTAAAATATTTTTTTTAAAAGTATCAGAAAATAAATACATAAAAATTAAAGTCATTACTTATCTTTGTGTAATTAAAAAAAATATTTTGTTGCTTTGTACTATGTAATTAAATGTACATAGCAGGCCATGAATGACGAAAGTTTTTTGTTTCAGTGCGTTTGCAGAAAGAATAATAAAAATTAGCATCTGTATCTCTAAGTATATATTAAATCTTGTCCGTCTAATCACAATAAATTCTTATTAAATATTAAAATATTACAATAATTAACATTTAAAATATTTAAAATATTAAATGATGTTCTTTATCGAAATATTCGATTTACATTAGACCATCATTTTTCATGTTTCACGACATGTTTCAGTTCCTAAAAGAACCATCCTCAGGTGTATATAATTATATAAAGCTTCAAAACGATAAATAATTCAAATACAATTTTCATACATTATGCTAGCGTACATTTTTATCAGTAATTATTGTAATATTTTAATATTTAATAAGAATTATTGTGATTAGACGGACAAGATTTAATATACACTTATTATATCACAATATGACGCAACTTTACCATCTTATTTAATGTTTCTTGTTATTGGGATTTTAGATTCCAGACAGAAGACTGGACGTTTGATGCCTCGGCGTTCCGTCAGATGATGACTTTGACTTCTGTAGTGACTTTTCTGCCGGTCCCATTAGTTGATGAGAAACCACAGTCCAGGTATGTTAAGTGCAGAATCTGGCAATATAATAATTTTGACTTGTCGTATAATTTGTTAGTCACAAATCTATACTAAATCAGCAGGCCTGCACCACATTTACGTTAGACACGACGTTTCGGGAGTTGGCTCTGCTCCCGTCTGCATATTTCTGGTTATTATGATGGGAGATGTATGCACGTAAGTCCTGGTTCGATACCAATTACTGTCATTAATATCTCAAATAAATGAAACAATAAAATACGTGTGAATGTGATGTAAAGCTGGAGTAGTAGGTAGTTTCCGAAACGTCGTGATTGAATGGTTAATTCCAACATTAATAATAAACGCTATAAAATGTCTGCGGTTAAAACATAATCACCGACAACCGAGAAAATGTAATGTCGTTGCAGATTTTGGCAGCTGATGACGGCGCCTGACGAATCAGAGACGGCTTGGCTCAATATCCTCCAGATATTGGACCATTTTACAACTGGGGACGAAATAGTGGAAATGTCGGCATGTGGAATTGTGTTGGCAGCCTTGGCGCTGTCTCTCAGCTTTCTCCACAGAAAGGACCTGTAGAACTGTGAGTCGTTTTATAATGCACCGGCTTAGTTTAGATTTCATATTCTGTGTGACGATGTAAGATCTTCAATACTAACATGGTCTCTGTCCTTATCGGATTCTTCTTGACGTAAATAGGGTTTGAAGCTATTCACTTGTTTCAGCTGACTCAAAATAAGGGCCACGGGAGGGAAATTTCGTTATCAACGCAACGATTGTCAGTTTCTCATGAAGAATTCAGCGCTGTGAGTTGAGTTGACGTTGGTTTTTGGGTTACTGCGCGTGAAATGTGTGATCGCTTTGACCAAGTAGGACATTATTATGACTCACTGGCCCGGCATTTGGCTGGTATTGCAGTAAATCATCATCATCATCATCATCAAACAGTCGAGGAGATAGGTCATATTGACCTGTTCTACCCTCGTAGTCTAAAAGTCTCTAATGCGGTCTTCAAGGGTTATTGCAGTAATAAATAAATAACATTTATTGTAGTAAATGTTATTTATCTATTACCGTCGTTACCTTGTTTAAACCTTTCGACATTTTCGAAATATTTATTACTGGTTTCAGGCTATATTACGTCAAACCTTGGAGTTTTCTGGGGGTCACGTTCTTTAAAAAATATCTCCCGCGAACATTAAAACAGAAATGCGCGAAATTTATACCTTGTCAACTATTAACTATTATCAACTATTTGAAGTATCAACTCTAACAACTCCAACAAGGTAAACTGATACTCTTTCGATATTCTACTATAAAAATTTGTGATTCCTCGTTGTCGTCAATATATTACGTCATCAACAATGTCAACTTATATTTGTTTATACACGGAATTGTTGTGGAACACAACAATTCCGAGTAAACAAATAACGCTTCACAACAAAGAAATTAAAAAATATCAAGCCAGTCGCATGATCTCTGCTCCAGAAGCAGCAAGTCGCATT